CTGCTGGTACCGGGACAGCCTGGGGGGCACGGGGGGCACGGGGGTCAGGGGTGGCTTTTGGGGGGGTCAGGGGTGGCTTTTGGGGGTTCAGGGGTGGCTTTTAGGGTTTTTTTTGGGATGTTTTTGGGGTATTTTTGGGGTGTTTTTGGGGTGTCCCACCTCTCCTCCCGGGGCACAGCCCTGTGGATGGCGATGGCCGGGGGGGCTCAGGGATGTTTTTGGGGTTCAGGGATGGTTTTTGGGGTGTTTTTGGGGTTCAGAGTTGGTTTTTTGGGGTTCAGGGATGATTTTTGGGATGTTTTTGGGGTTCAGGGATGGTTTTTTGGGGGTTCAAGGATGGTTTTTGGGGTGTCCCACCTCTCCTCCTGGGGCACGCCCCTGTGGATGGTGATGGCCGGGGGGGTTCAGGGATGTTTTGGGGTGGATTTGGGGGTTCAGGGTTGATTTTTTGGGGTTCAGGGTTGGTTTTTGGGATGTTTTTGGGGTTCACGGATGGTTTTTTGGGGGTTCAGGGATGGTTTTTGGGGTTCAGGGTTGGTTATTTGGGGTTCAGGGATGGTTTTTGGGGTTCAGGGATGGTTTTTGGGATGTTTTTGGGGTTCAGGGATGGTTTTTTGGGGGTTCAGGGATGGTTTTTGGGGTGTCCCACCTCTCCTCCTGGGGCACGCCCCTGTGGATCGTGATGGCGGGGGGTTCAGGGATGTTTTTTGGGGTGTTTTTGGGGTTCAGGGTTGGTTTTTTGGGGTTCAGGGTTGGTTTTTTGGGGGTTCAGGGATGGTTTTTTGGGGGTTCAGGGATGGTTTTTGGGGTGTCCCACCTCTCCTCCCGGGGCATGCCCCTGTGGATGGTGATGGCCGGGGGGGCTCAGGGATGTTTTGGGGATTCAGGGATGTTTTTTGGGGGTTCAGAGTTGGTTTTTTTGGGGTTCAGGGGGTTTTTTTGGGGTGTTTTTGGGGTGTCCCACCTCTCCTCCTGGGGCATGCCCCTGTGGATGGCGATGGCCGGGAAGTTTTGCTCCACGAGCAGCTGGGCCAGGGCGATGCAGCGCTGAACGGACTTGACAAAAATCACAACCTGGGGAGCCCGAGAACGGGGGGTCAGAGCGCCCC